CTATTGCTCTTCCAGGTTCCGGCACGCCGGCCAGCTGGACTTCACGTGCGCATGTGCACCAAAAACCAGAAGAACAGCTGCCTGGCGTGCATGTGCGCGCCAAGAAGATAATCTTGTTTCCAGCACGTGCATGTGCGTCGGCCACCTGGTCTTCTGGTGCGCATGTAGGCGCAAAGACCAGCAATGGGAATAGTATCAGACATGAATGCCAAAAGACTCGGAGAGGGGCAGAGCTATTGGCCAGGAGGGGCGGGCCAGGGTTTCCCTCCCTCTCCACCCGAGTGGGATTCTTGTGCGTCTCCAGCCCATGGCACATCTGTGCTCCAGAGCACCTGGCCAGATTGGGCACCCCAGAAGCTCTAGCCGGCCCCCACACAGACCCCCCACTTTTGCCAAGGAGGCATGGACACTTCTGTCCCCAGCATTCCTCCTACCCAGCTCAGCTCCTGCGCCTCCCAGAAGAGCAGCAGCGGCAGCTGCAGGGGGAAGGGTAGGAGTGACCGGCTGGCCACCACAGCCACTCCCATGCCGGCGAGCCATACGGGCAGCTCGCCTCCATGCCAGCAGCTCCTCCTGTCTGGAAGCAGCTCCTCCTGCCTGGAAGCAGCTGCACAACAACTGCCGCCACCGGAGGCGAGGGGGCAGGAAGGGTAAGGATAGGAGGGCCGGGGCTTCCCTCCCTTCTTGTACAGACCCAGTCGATTTGGCCGGCAGCTCTGCTCCCCTTGCTCTTCTGGGTTCTGGCGCGCTATACAGCTCAGGCATAGGGCAGCTGTCACTCCTGCCCTTTCCCCTGCAGCTGCCCCTGTTGCTGCTGCTCTTTTGGGGAGGAGGGACTGTGCAGAAGCTGAGCTGGGTGGGAGGAATGCATGCCAGCTGGGAAGTGGTAAGAGGCGTGTCGGCCGGGAAGCTGTCACGCTCCCTTGGAAGAAGTGGCAGGAGAGTAGTTGCGCTGGCTTGTTCTGAGGCTGGGAAGGTGCTCTGACTTTCCAGTGGAGGGAGGCCACAGTGTGTATATCCCGCCACCTGACGGAGACCAGGTGGGGAGGGAGGTGCAAGGACCCCCAAAAGACAAGGCGGAGCCAGCACATGCACACAGGACAACTGGTCTTTGTGCGCACATACACACCAGAAACCAGGTGCCAATGTGCATGCTCGCATCAACAAATAAAAGATCTGGTTTTCAGACCACGCATGCACGTGCACACCCATTTTGGCACTCTACTGAAAAGATTTGCACGCATTCCCGTTTTGGCACTCAGTGCCGAAAAGGTTTGCCAACACTGACCTACTTAGCTAGAAGCATTGTATCATCCTTTTCGTTAGCTTTTCCTCACATTTCTTCTTTTACCTACTCAGTAAGGCACATCTTTCACACATCTTTTGATCTCTGCATTCTGCTTTTAAATTCATTTAAATTCATTCATTCAGCATTCATTTATGCTATTTACCCACTGCTTGTTTTAAAATATATATAAAAGCAAAAACCACCATCAGAAGAAACATCATGTAAGGGATTATTAATTCTATGAAAATAAGTAAAAGACCAGTCTTAATTTCAGAGGCAGCTACCCACAGATCATACCATGCCGGGGGGGGGGGGGGGGGGAGATTGTCACATATCTATAGCATATTATTTGAAAATATGAAAGAATTTAAGAATATATTGTCTCGCAGGCAACCTGGATCTAAACCACAACATTTCACAACCAAAATCAATTTGAATGAGATTGGTGGTTTTAAATCAATCAATCAACTAAACAAACAAACAAAGTGATAGACAGGGTCTTTGCCACTGTACATTGTACTTTGATTTTAGCCACTGTAACACTGAAAAGAATATAATTACCCCAAAAAACACATCATTCCCACCATTGGCTCTATGCAGACCTGTGTTTAGTTTAAGGGTCAAAACCTTGTAAACAGACAATTATTTAGATGGTTTGACGTCTGCATTCTTCTGTGCAACAATTTATTATAGATTCCATGTGCCATAGAACCCAGTGTGTTATATTCAAGCATTTTATTTACTATCAGAACAAACTATTTGAGTTCCATACTTTGCACACAAATATGAGAAATAAATAAAGCTAAAAGTTATTAACATACCAAGGAAACATGGCCCCAATCTACCTATATATTATTAAAACTCTTGTTGTCATAACTTTTAATTGGGTGAACTGATGTATCATAAGGCAACAACTTTTGAACCAAGCATCTTAAACAGGCTAACTTATCCAATGTGCAGGAAATCCAGGACTTATGATTCCTATGACTAAGGAAAGGACAGTGGTGGTTGCTCAGTGTTGGATTGAAGTCACACAATCCTCATTTTCAGCATGCTGTGACAGTTTTCCAAGCACTCTCACAATTCCTTGCTCCCTTCCTACCTAGCAGCAGCCATTATTTTCCTGTAGGGGTGGAATGGGGAAGGAGGAAAGGGGGGAAGGAAGGAGAAACAGGGACATATGAACCCCCATTCACGTTGCTCTTTACCCAACATCTCTGATTCATGCAGCACCTTTCTTACACTCCCAAGCATCACTCCCAATTTGCTTCCAAGCATCACTTCCCTTCTGTAGCAGCCAGTTACCTGCCTGTGGATTTTTACACTGCCTGCAAGATTCCCATGAGCAAAGTAAATGGGAACACTGACAAGAATTCTAGGGAGCAAGGAAGGTTTTCAATATCCCCCTCCCCCAGCTTATTCTTGTCCCATCTCTTTCTCTTTTCTAACCAGAAGCTGTTCTTTCCTTCCAGTGACAATCAAGAGGGGTAAATGGAAGAAAAAGCTAGAAGTTGTCTAGTATCTGAGAAGCAGTCTTGATCATTAAAGTGCAGGCTGGTTGCAGAACTGGACAAAAATATGCTGAGAAGGGGCTGAAAGCTTCTTTGTTGATGATTGGAAGTTGCTGACAATCAAACAGGACCTTCACCTACAAGAAACCGGCATCAGAGAAGGAATGAGACCACATACATTAATCAGAGAGGGAGGATCAGGAGAACATGGAGAGAAAGGAGAATGGATGTGTAAGGGAGTCAATCACTAGAGGCAAGTCAGCAGGTTTTCAATTTCTCCTCATCGCTGTTTAGCACCAACTAAGATTTCTGCAAAGCCATAAAGCTTCACATGGCTGGCCTATGGAATTTGATGTCATCCACATTGAAGCCACAAGACTATACCCCTGCACTCCAGCTCACTCAATGATGTCTTATTCCTCACTTTGTGCCTGCACATGCCTCTAATGAAAGTGGCATATATCCCAGCAGACAGCAGTTTTCTAGTCTTTGCTTTCTCAAAGTCTTGGTTTGGATGGTTTGAAACTATTGTGATGGCTTGAAGCACACCATGCTCCAAGGAATTATCTGTGCGTTGCTTTATATCCTCATGGGGAGAAAAGGGATGGGGGGCCATCATTAAACAAGGCGAGCTCATGGGTTCTTTATTTAACAACTATTATGACTTGCAACCATATGGACAGGCTCCATTACAATTTCTGGTGAATTTTATCTTTAGCTTTTGCTACCTCTTACATGGGGTTTTAAAATTTATTTCTGACTTGAATTTTAAAAAGCTGTGTTTTTATTTTAGCAATTTTATTTATTTTAAAAATCATTTTATAACTTCAGTTGTTTTTGTAAGCTTTAAGAAAATCAACATAATGACATTTAAATAAATGTAACAAAAAAAAAATTAAATCCTGAATATAATTCAGAAAGTAGAACAGATTAAAGGTAGATGGAAAGCCTAGGACAGACTTATAATTGTGTGAACCTATAATCTACCTCTAGTGTCATGTTATGTTTGGAATAACATTTGAAAAGAATGATCAAAACGTATTTATCATACAATACATTTTCTCCAAAGGATGGTTTATTCAAATTTGATTGTCTTCTGAAATTTCCATTAATTTTCTACTTCACATATTCTGAAAATTATTTCTGAATCTTTAAACCATACAAACATCTTCAATATGAAAAAATTGTCAATAAAAATAAGGACCTAGAGCCAGAGAAGCTTTCTCCATTAGAATTCCGCACGAAAGAATCACATTCCTAATTTATAGAAGATAACATAATTAAATATAGGAAGGAAAATTTGAAAAGATAACAGTCATGAGTTACAGAAATTCATGTAAAAGTCCAGGTATAAAGATTATTTACAGACTATGTATGTGTGTATCTATGCATATATTGATACACAGAAAAAGAGAGGGAGGGAGGGAGGGAGAGAGAGAGGGAGAGAGAGGGGGGGAGAGGGAGAGGGAGAGGGAGAGGGAGAGGGAGTGGAAGAGAGAGAGAGAGAGAGAGAGAGAGAG